CTAATACCATGCCTAATACAAATTCTAATACCAATACCTAATACTTAATACCTAATACCAATGCCTAATACCAATACCTAATTACCAATACCTAATGCAATGCCTTAATTACCAATTACCTATACCAACACCTAATCACCCAATGTTCTAATACCAATACCTAATACCAACACCTAATACAATGCCTAATACCAGATGCCTAATACCAGATGCCTAATACCTCAAACCTAATACCAATGCCTAATACCAATGCCTCAATGCCGAATACCTAATACCTAATACCAATGCCCTAATTACCATACCTATACCAATGCCTCAATAGTGCCAATACCATACCTAATACAATACCTAATACCTAACTCACCTAACAATACCCAATGACTAATACCAATACCTATACCAATACCTAATACAATTACCTAATGCCATATGCCTAATACCCAATGCCTATACCAATACCTTTAGATTTTACCAAAATTCCTAATGCCATAAGTGCCTAATACCAATTATACCTAATACTCCATATGCCTTTAAATACCAATACCTAATACCAAACTAACCCTAATTACCAATGCCTATATACCAATGCCTAATTTACATAATGGAGTTCCTAATGGTATCCAATACCTAATAACAATTCCTAATACCAATACCTAATACCAACCTAATACAAATTCCTAATACCAATACCTAATTACCAATACCCAATGCCTAATACCAATACCAATACCAAATACCTAATTCCTAATACCAAATACCTAATACCAAACCTAATTACCAATGTCTAATACCAATACCTAATAACAATTGCCTTTAATACCAATGCCTAATATGCCTAATACCAATACCTAATACCAATGCCTAATACCAATGCCTAATACCAATTACCTAATACCAATGCCTAATTACCAATGCCTTAATACCAATACCTAATACCAATTGCCTAATACAATCCCTAATAACCCAATACCCTAATACCAATGCCCTAATACCAATACCCCTAATGCAATTACCTAATACCAATACCTAATGCCAATGCCTAATTACCAGTGCCTAATACCAATACCTAAATACCAATGCCTTAATACCAATGGCCTAATACCAATACCTGAATACTAATTGCCAAATACCAATACCTAATTACCAATACCAATGCTAATACCAATACCTAATACCAATACCTAATGCCAATGCCTAATACCAATGCCTAATACCAATACCAATACCTAATGCCAATGCCTAATGAACCAATACCTAATACCCTAATACCAATACCTAATTACCAAATAAAATACCTTAATACCCAAACCTAATACCAATAATACCAACCAATACCTGAATGCAATGCCTAATTACCATACCTAATACAAATTCTAATACCAAATACCTAATAACCAAATTCCTAATACCAACACCAATACCTAACACAAAATCCTAATACCAATACCCAATACAAATTACCCTAATACCATTACCGAATACCTATGTGTAACCTAAACAATTAAATACAAATTCCTAATACCAATACCTAATAACAATTCCTAATACCAATACAACCTCCTAATACCAATACCTAATAACCTACTAATACCAATTACCCAATACCTAATACCAATACCTAATACCAATACACCAATCCTAATACCATACCTAATACCAATGCCTAATACCAATACCTAATACAAATTCCTAATACCAATACCTAGTACCAATTATTCACACCAGCTCAACACGCGAGCCATTCCCATACGCAAGCCGACCAGACAAGACACACACGAAGAGGAAAAAACTGTTGTATAAAAACCATAACAGGAGTACTTAAGAATAACAAGTTTATGACTTTATTGAGGCTAAGGGCAAGTGGGGGGAGTGGGAGGGGGAGAGAAGGGATAGGAGAGGAAGGGGGAAGAGAGGGAGAAGGAGAGAGACAGCGAGAGAGAGAGGGGGAGAGGGGGGGAGGAGGGGATAGAGAGATAGAGGGGGAGAAGAGAAGGAGAAAGAGAGAGATTAGAGCGCGGAGCGAGAGAGAGAGAAGAGAGAGGGAAGGAGAAAGAGCAAGAGAGAGAGAGAGAGAGAGAGAAAAGAGGAAAGAGCAGGAGGAAGGGAGAAAAAAGACGAGAGGGGCAGCACGTCAGGGAAAAAGGAGAGGGGTGGGTCAAGAAAGAAGAGGGGGGAAAGAGAGAAAGAGGGTGTGGAAGAAAGAGTAAAGTAAAGCAGGAACAAAGGGGGAAGGTGTGTGGTGTGAAGAGAGAGCATGGGAAGGATAAGAGAGTAAAGAACGGGACGAAAGAGAGAGAGAAAGGGGAAGGGAGTGAGAGGAGAAAGGAGAAGAACTAGAGAAGGAGCAAGAGAGAGAGAGAGAAGAAGAAAGGGCGACGAAGCAAAAGATGGAGAAGGAAGAGGGGAAAGAGAGGGAAAAGGTGGATATGAAAGAGAAGGAAAAGCGGGAAGGGAGAGAGGAAGGGAAAAAGAGAGGGGTGAGGGAAAGGAGGAGAATGGGAGGAGAGAAGAAAATGGAAAGAGGAGCAAGAAGGAGAAAGTAGGAGGAAGTTAGAAGGTGGTACAAAGAGTAGAGAGAAGGAAAATGGAAGGTGAAGGGAGGCAGGGAGAGGTAGAAGAAAGAAAGAAAAAAACGGAATACAGAGAGGCAGAAAGAGGGAAAGAGAGAGAGAGAGAGCGAGAGAGACGGAGGAGAAAGAGCAAGACGGTTGCGAGATCAAATCAAGAGGTCGGAAAGGAACAGGAAGGAAAGGTACAGAAGGTACATGCGAGGCAATCGGGAGATCAGCGAGGGATTGCCTCCACGAGCGAGGCCCCGAGACGCCGAGGCTGACCCGTAGAAAGTGAATTTGCTGGTTCTGAAGGACGAGGAGCAGCTTAGGTTTATTTTGCTTTTATTCTGAAAGGCTCTTCAGTTCGAGGAGTAGGAGCACACGCACACACATACATATATACTATCTATCTATTTATATTTATAGATAGATAAATAAAATTTAATATATAATATATATATATATATATATATATATATATATAATATATATATATATATATGCGTGGTGTGTGTGGTGTGTGTGTGTGTGTGTGCTGTGTTGTGTGTGTGTGTGTGTGTGTGTGTGTGTGTGTGTGTGTGTGTGTGTGTGTGTGTGTGTACATGTACATAGATAAACCTAGATACCAAAGGGATTCTACCCTGAGGAGAAATCCAGAGCTGGAGTTTCCAAGGCAGCTCGTCGTTTAGAACTTCGTCCCGGCAAATCCTTGCAACGGCGCTGGTTTCAAGCTGCGCTGGCTCTTGCCTTCCCTCGCCAAGGTCTTCGCTATGCTGCGGACACTCCAGCGTCTCTGCAAAGCAACACGTGAAGAAGCAGTTAAGTGGTTATAAGCTTGAGTCGATGGGCGGAGAGGGAGGCGCCAGTGGTCACTCCTGTATCGCCGTATATAGCCACTCTAGGCGCTGTTCCAATTCCAATTCCTGAATCATGGCTCTTTAACATGCACTCCCATGGCCATTCATGGCAAATGAGAATAATTATAATGCTTATACAGATAGATAGGCAGATAGAAGAACGCCTGTGTCTGTATGTGCGTGTGCATCATATATACGCACGCACAAAGATGCTTATCTGTACAAAAACACTCCCACCCAGAGACAGTGATTAACGTTAAAAGAACGACGTAAAAATCCATATAAATATCGCACCGTGAAAGAAATGAGACTTCATTTAATTTAATTCTTTTAAGCATTAATCACGCCGTTACAAAGACCCCTCAGTGTCAATTTCCTGCTACTTAGTATAAAAGAAATGAATCATAATGGGAAAAAGTCTTTCACTTCCTTGTCTTTCTGTCTTGCGAGTCAAGAGACATAATAAAGCTGGGGTTAGTCTTTCTTTACCTTTCGCAAGGGAAGGGAAATTAAGAAAGAGAGAGAGAGACGACGATAGACAAACAGATACAGAGAAAGAAAAAGGAAGAGGCAGACAGGCAGACACAAACAGAGAGACAGAGAAAGAGAAACAAAAACAGAAACATTCAGTAAAAGAGAGAAAGAGAGAGAGTCATACAAAGAGTAAGAAAAAAAGAAACAGACAAGGGAGAGAAAGGTCGAGAAATAGACCCAACAGACAACCCGTTCACACACAACAATCACAATCATAGCAACCCAAAACACGCAACCGAAAACAGACACAGAGAGAACAGACGGATAAACAGAGAGAAGAACTTGCTTCGGGTGATACCTCGTCTGTTAATTAATTTCCTCCAGTGATTTCCTGTTCTGTCTTCTTTTGCAAGGGAAGCAGAGAGTAGAGAAGAGAGAGAGGGGGGAGGGAGAGGGAGCAAGGAGAAAAGAAGGAGGAGAAAAGAGAGAGAAGGGGAGGGAGAGAAAGCAGGGAAGAGGGAGAGAGAGAGAGAGAGAAGGGGGAAAGAGGGAGAGAGAAGACAGAGAAGAGTAAGGGGGAAGAAAAGAGAGAGAAAGCGAGAAGAGGCGGGAAGAAATAAAAGGGAGAGCGAGAGAGAGAGAAGGGGGTGGGGAGAGAAGAGAAGGCAGGGAGAGAAAAGAGCGAGAAAGGGGGAGAGACGAGAGACGAGAGAGAAAGGGCGGGAGGAGGAGAAGAGGAAGCGAAGGATTGTTTGTGATTCATTCCATCATTATATTCTTGTTGATGTCTAATTCTCTCATTGTTATTACCGCAAATTATTCTGTTATTGACCATTATTATATATCGATTTTGAAATCATTGTTATTGTTATTTACTATGTTATTGAATGTATATTAGTATAATCATGTTATCATTATTATCATCCATCATCATTAAAATTATCATATAATGATAGTAATGATTATCATTATCGTTATAATAACGATTTTGATTATTATTATCATTATCACAGTTATCACCATTACTATTATCAATTTGTTTTTCATTATTATTAATATCATTAATAGTGGTAATAGTAGAAGTAGCATTACTGATATTGACACTATTATTATTATTACTATCTTCATTACATTTTTTTCATTATCGTTGTTGTTGCTCTTACCATTATTATCATCATAATTATAATTGTTATTATCATCATCATTATTGCTGTTATTATCATTGCCATTATCATTATTAACATTTTTGTTATTATCATTATTATTATTATATCTCTATTATTATTATCATTATCATTAATCATATTATTATTATCATTATCATCTTTATTATTACTATCATGTTGTTGTTGTTGTTGTTGTCTTGCTGTTGTTATTGATAATCATCATCATCATCACTATCCAGACCTGAAGATGCAATCCAGGATTTCGAAACTGTTGTCTTCCTGTTG